CCATGCCTCCTTCTCACCACACTGGGGAGCTTCTGTGTCACTCTGAGATCAGCCTCCCTCACTGCTAGCTCTCATCTGTTTCTGAGGGGAAGGTCTTGGCTGGGGAAAGGCATGGCTGGTCTTGGGCTATCAGAAAGAATAGGAACACCTCTGACATATAGAAGAAGAAGTTCCCTGGGGGCACGCGAACCATGTGTAAGGGGGCCTAGCGTCCTTCTTGTACAAGGAATCCATCTCAGCATCAAACGTTTTTGTTAGCTGCTGTCAATTCTGCCCACAACTCTTGATACCCCGTGCACAACAGAACGACATGCTCCCACGGGGTTTTCATTGGCTGATTTACAGAAGTAGATCACCAGGCCTTTCCTACTCCAGCTTAGTCTGGCAATTCAGCTGAAACTGTTCAGCATCATAGCAACATACAAGCCACCACTGAGTGACAGGTGATGACTGCACATGAAGTGCATTGGCCGGGAATCAAACCTGTGATCTCTCACATGGAGAACAAGAACTCTACCACTGAACCACCAATGCCTTCAGTAAGTGTTACCTTATCATCCCATTATCACCATCATTGTCAAACTCTCAGGCATTTCTGAAGCCACTCTTGGGCCTGTCATTGTCCAAACTCAGGGTCACTCCTAGAGCCAGACTGTCACATCCTCAGATTAGCACTAAATAAGCACTGTCTACCTGGCATGGCAGCACTTCATTTTTCCAATCCTTCCTCCTGTAGGAGAGTAATACACCCAAGCAGAGTAATAATAGCTGCCATTTCTTGAGAGCCAAAGACGGACCAGCCCTGTGCTAATCACTGATGCATATGATAGACCTGGAAAAAGTAAGTTTTATTATCCTGAATTTACAGACCTCCGTTTCCTCATAAGGGGCCCTGGTGGCAGAGTGGTTAAAGCACTTGGCTACTAACCGAAAGCTTGGCAGTTTGAACCCACTAGCCCTGTACAGGAGAAAGATTTGGCATTCTGCTTCCATAAAGATTACAGCCTTGAAACCTGGTAGGGCAGTTCTACTCTGTCCTCTAGGGTTGCTAATGCTTCCTTATTGACTCAAGGGCAGTGGGCAGTGGGCAATGGGCAGTTTCCTTATATATCATGTGGACAATAATAACATCTCTATCATAGGGTGCTGTGAATCCACAGGGTGCTCATATGTGTAAGAAGTATAGGCTTTGGAGTCAGTCATTCCCAAGTCTGACTTCTGATCTACCATTAACTGGCCTGTTTCCTCATTTGAAATATGTGACAATGTAATATCTATCTTATGGGATTTGTATGAGAATTTAAAGAGTTAATGTGGTTAAAGGGCTTGGCACAGGATTCCTGGGACACAATAACCTCTTAATACATCACCAAACGCCACTGCTACCAAGTTGATTCCAACTCATAGCAACCCTATAGGACAGAATTGAAGTGCCTCACAGGGTTTCTAAGACCGTAAATCTTTACAGAAGCAGACTGCCTCATCTTCTTCCCACAGAGTAACTGGTGGTATAGAACCACCAACCATTTGGTTAGCAGCCCAGTGCCTTAACCACAGCGCCACCAGAGCTGCTTCAATACATTAAGTGGTGATGATTTTTTAAAAAATTACTATTATGGAAGGATCAGAAAGAGGAAGGAGATTCCTAAAAAAAAAAAAAAAAATGAGAAGCGGGCACCAAAAAAATCAGAGCGTGGGGAACCATGAGAGAGGGTGTCATGGAAACCAAGGGAAAATAATGCCAGGAAGGAGGGAGATAATGCAAAAGGGCACTCAGAGGCTGGTTTCTCCTGACAAGACAAAAGAGTGATTTTCATCTCTTAGCGACCAATGAGAATGGAGGGAGAAAGGAAGAAAAAAAAAAAAAAAAAAACACCATCATTTTAAATGAAGGCTATCAGACACAGAATTCTCTCAAAGTCTTTTCCAGCTAACCCCATTAGTCTGATCTGAATGCCCCTGTATCTGTTCAATGTCTTCCAATTACAGAGAATAATATTTCTTGAATAAAGGAAAAATATCAGGTTTACATCATGTTGGTGAAATAACAAACTCTGACAATTTCTAGTTTACAACCGAGAAAATATGGGTGGGAAGAAAAATGGGGTGAATCACAGAATAGATTTTTTTTTTAACTTTTATTGTGGTGAAAACATACACAAGAAGACATTCACCAACATAACACTTCCCCATTTACAGCCCAGGGACATTGATGATGTTTTTCATGTTGTGCCACCATTGTTGCTGTCCTTTCCCAAAATATTCCACCACCATCAGCATAAACCCAGTGCCCCCCCCAACAAAAGCTGCCCCTTTCCCCCCCCTCCTACCCTTGGTAACCACTAATACTCTTTGGCATCTCTCTGTCTCTGTCTGTCTCTGTCTCTGTCTCTCTCTGTCTCTCTCTCTCTATATATATATACACACACATATATAATATTTTTTTCAACCTATGTAGAAATTCTGCCTCCCCTCCCTCACAACCTAGGTAACCAACAAGACAGTTTCCTTCTATGTATAACCAATCCTTTCCTTGACTTTTTACAATAGCGAACTCATACAATATTTGTCCTCAACAGAATAGATTTTCAAAGCAGTGATCTATACAGAACCCCTAAGCTTAAAAGGAGGGCAAGCGTAGAGAATTTTCTTTCCATCTTTTTACTCTACCTGGTGCCCCAAAGAAATTATGGCAGCATAAAACTACACTGATCATTCAACAAGTGTTTATAGAATAAAAATTGAGAAAGTGTGAGCAGGAAGTAGAATGATAATCTAACTCAGGGTAGATGACAGAGCACATATTCCCCAAGGGTAGATTTGGAGAGGGTTAAGGAAAATAAAGAAGCTTTGGTAGCATAGTGCCTAAGGCATTTGACTGCTAACCAGAAGGCTGGCGGTTCAAACCCACCAGCCACTCCTCGGAAGGAAGGTTGGG